CTCGATATATCATTTATTTCATGGATCAGGGCCACTGAAAGTTTTATTTTGAAGGTGCCACATAGTACAGAACGATTTTTCTTCGTTATCTTCTCGCATCAGTTTTGTTTCCTTCTAATTTTAATTTTTAATTCTAATTTTAATTATAATGTCATTTAACTATTAACTATCGTTTCGCTGGTAGCTTATTGTAAGTAGTTCGGGTTTCATTTTAATTATAACACTTGGTATTTCATTTTACAAAATTAGCGCACAAGTTTAGAATTCGTATAGCTTTGAGGAGATTTAATTGTGAGCATAAAAAATGGAGTTGTGGTGGATTATCAGTGATTTTGAATTCAAAAGTTATTTGGCTCTCGAAATGCATCTCAAACATGAAAATTGCCCTTGAAATAGCAAGCAAACACATATTGCATCAAATCATGGTCAATTACTAATGCTAAGTGGTCACATTGACTTGGCTATGAATAGAGTAACTTTTATTCTTTTGTACCTTTTACACCAAAGTTTGAAATAAAATAATTTTGTAATCCCCTAAACAAACTATCTGACAGAAAAAGATCGGAACTCCCTGCTTCAATGTGCTGCCACTCATAGACGAATTAGCTTTTCTAAGGAAGTCAAGACAAAAATGAGGTAAACCTTTACACCTTAAATTAAAAATTACATTCCTCCGGTAGATTAAAAATTATGAGCTACTTCAAAAGCAAGGACAGAAATGGGATTACAAATTCCAAAACTTATTATTATTTTCTTGGGTTTATAGTGCTGTTTTAGGGCCTTATCATTTTTTGCAACGTACGAGTATTCATGTTACTCCGTTCCATTTTAGTATGGTCAGTGGCTTTATGGCCTTACGAACAAGTTAGTTTCATTAAGCGTCACAAGTATCCTTGAGCCCGAAACGAAAATCATAGATTAACATCTGACAATGCTTGCCGTTTGGCATAAGGAAGTTTCCTTTTCAGCTGAAGAAAGCCACGCGAATTTTATAAATCCGAAATAAGAAGAAGGATGAATAGCAAGTAACACCTGTTGCGTTTGACCAGAATAGAAAATTGGTTGCTTGTCACTACTGTTCCGGACGACTTCCTCATTCAGTACCCCATAGTTCAAATATTGGTAATGACCAAATCAAGTCCGTGCTAAAGAGAGTAGGAATCAAAGTAAAGTAATTTTAAGGGGAATTATCAAAGAATTAGGCTAAACTGAATTCTTATATGGTAAAACTTACAATTAATGTAAGATTTAGGCCAACCAAGGGGAAGATTTTTTGACGTAGGAGTGTCTCAAATTTTTTTTTTATAATATCAAATTGATCGCAACTGATCAGGCCGCAAAAAAATTTGCCTCTGCATCGAATGCACATATGTACAAAAAGACGTTAAAATTCCTTAAAGATTAAGAAGAGTACACATTTTGTCAACTGAACTCGAATATTATTTAGGGGACAAGTTAGTCCCGCAACTCGCACATCTTATGAGTTTCATTTACTCTTGCTTAATAAAACTGCACCATTTAAGCATCCAATTAACAATTAGTTGCCCTTAATTGAGAGTCGCAAATGGGAGGATGCAGCGGTTTCCGGCTGCAAAAGGTGCGCCATGGCTGGGGAAATGAACGCAGACAGGAAGGCTATGTGAGTGTGGATTTGTAATACCGCCATTTATGTTCCAAAAAAGAAGGAATCTCCCTTTACCGAGGTCCATACGATAAATTCGCAAGTTAACAGGTTAATGCGAACAACCAATCAGGCGCTAGCTGCACCTCCCTCATGTAATATATACGTATACGCATTTACATGGCAGGCCCAAATCTATGAAATTTCCATTGTAATCAGAAATGCATTTTGTAAGCTAAATAATCAGCTCATTATTTTAAGAATAATGAAGTAGATTTTTGTGACTGTAGCAAAAGAGCTGCATAACTCATACAGTTATTCAATTTGTTTATTTATTTAATCACTTAACCATTTCTAAGCATTTATTTAAGTATTGGTGGAAGTCGACTATATTATCTCACTAAAGGTATCCCCTTTTTGGTTAATTCACTTTTATTAATAAGTTACAGATAAGCGTTGAAAAACTAGCCTAAATAAAGGCGACATTTTAAGGGGTATTGAATGACCTATGATTAAAACCAAGATTTTGTGCATATTTTTTTGTAGCAAAACATATTTTTTCCCTCTAATTGAGATGCGTGAAGCTGGAATCATTCTGCTTCTTTCTGTGCTGCTATCAGTTCAATCACTCCAAAGGGTATTTTTTCCATTTTCAATAAATACTCAAAGAATGCTGTGTTAATATTTATGAATAAATAGATTTTTCCTTATAAATTTGCGATTTTCCGAAGCAGTCCTATGCTAGAAATGTTTGTGGTCTCAAGAAGGTTTAAACTTGAAGTAAATGGCTACTGTGTTTTAGGGGGATTTCTGGACTTATCTACTTCGTGAAATTCAGAAACAGAATACACGTGAAGGCGAAAGTAAGAAGTGGAATTTACTTATTTGTTAAGAAAATCCATTGCTTAGTAACTGTTTGTACGTATGCCTAAGACCTAATGTCATCAGTTAATTCACGTATTTGATGGGTTTTAATGTAGTAATTCTGTAAAATGTCGCCTTTTTAGCCTGTTTTTAACTATATTACAAAAAATCGACTTCAAAACTAATATAGTAGCTATCAAAATGCGATAGCCCCATTTTTTGCATTTCCATTTAACGAAATCATTTACCTGATTTCAAATGCCAACATAGATATTTTGAGCAGTAAAAAATTACAAAACTGCACACTTTTCATTGAAATGCGTTCCCAAAGCCTAAGCTCAACGTCATTTTTGCTACATTTTTGCATTGATTAAAAACAAAAAGGCTTATGTCCTACATTTTTTTTGGATAAATTCATGGTAAGAATTTGCCGAGAATTGCCATTTTGGAACAAATTGGATATCTTAGTGACATCCTTAAAAAAGAATCACGTCGATTCCAAGTTCTTGAGACTTTTTAAATACGTGTTTGATTAGTACTACTCACTGAAGGGAGTTGTCACGATTATAGCCGAGTTAGTAGAATAAACTACACAAGCATTTGCTCGTTAAAAGTTGTACAAAGTTTCACGCAGTTCAAACAATGGAGACTATTTCAGATTTTGATGCCACTGCCCCATAGTAGGCGTGCATTCAATCATCCAGGCAATTGGGTCGCTTACATCGTTTAAATTAAGGCAGTCGCGGCAATAAAATATGCATTGACAGGTTAAATACATGTTTACCATGCCGATAAGGAGTCATCTCTGGTCTTGTACTTGGTTATTCTAGGGTGGTTCTTGATGGGGTTCACTTCAAATTGCACAAATGGTTGCTAAATATCTGATGAGAAATTAGATGACGATAATTGTCGTTCAAGCCTAGTAAAGCGTGGATTAAACCATTATGAATAAACAAGAATAAGGCTCCTTTATTTACTTACAATAAAGTGTTTCAAGTGATGCAAAAATCACTTGTAGATAAAATATGCTTACATGTTTCTTTTTGATTAGTGAATATGAATGAAAGCACATTTCTGCAGCTTAATTAGTAAGAACTACTGGCAAGAATTCATGAAATAGTTGTGGTCTTGTAACTTGACCCTTTCAAATGGCTTCTATTTGTGATAATCCACGTAAATGCTGGCACTTGAGCAGTAAATTTAGGCTGTCACGCCACTTTTGCGAGAACAACCATATTAACATAGAAATCACCCCATAATCTAAGTGTGTATTATATGAATAGCTAAAGTTCAAAGCTGCACAATTTCAATTTTAAGCCTATTTTGTTTTAGAAATAACGACGGAGGAAATGGCACGACTTGGAGAATACCAGTCTGTGCATAAAATCTGTTTATTTTGGTTGATTTTTACCAACTTTTAATCTCTATAGTCGCCAAATGATCCTGTTTTATGCTTAGTTTCGACAACTTATTGCCAAACTTGGGGTATTCAAAACGCGGAGCAAGGAACGTTTAATGCTATAGCTTTTTTATGTATGAAATTCTTGTTTAAAGGCAAAATGTTGGATAAATGGTTTGCGAAATGCAAGTTCTAAAACGATGCTTATTGTGCTCGTTTTTCCATCCTATAAATAAGCTGTTAAAAGCGCTACATTGTCATTCTGCATTACTAAAATAAATGCGTACTTGGGGAGTAGATGAGTAGCAAAATTTCAAAGGAATATCGCAGCATAGTACGCACCCTCTTATCCAGATGAGCTGTGAAGATAAAAATAAACATGCCAAACGAATTTCTCTTCTAAAATCAAAAACGACACGTGGGGAAATTTTGGGAAGAAGTGAAAGTGACAGATTCTCCACATAAGTGGGTGCACGCTTCCTAATTCTTTCATCCATCAAAAAGAGCGCAAACCCAGTAAGTCGTAGCATTGTTTAGAACTTAATTATAGGTTTCATGTTACCAATGATAAGTTTATGTCTTTTTACGCTTAGTTTATGCAATTCGTGATTGCAAATTCAAAAAGCTGGCAGATTTGCTAGAAATTTCTGAAATGGAACAGTGTTCCCCAATAAAAGTTGCACCGCTCAAAATTAACCTGACCTATTTATTTTCAATTACGTAAATCGCACTTCCTGTTTATTGCTCTAAACT